ATGATTAAATGTGAATTAAAACTTATGTAACCTCCAATGTGCATTCATTTGTATAACATCCTGGTTTCATTCCAGTGTCTTCTCTGTATAACAACCTCTAATCTGTCTATTATTGCATTTCCCACAATTCAGAGTTTCGGAGTCATGTCTCAATTGATTTAATTTATCTTAATGTTGTAGGATCTACTTATTCATTCTATTAAATCTACTTGTTCCTTAAAAACCGTGAGTTTTTTTGCCCTCAACATCTTTTTTTGTATATTTTTTAATTAACTATTCATGGCAACATATCAAATTTTAATTCTTCTTTACCATAGAACGAACTCATTAATTTTGCTTCTTTATCTGCTTATCTGTTCCCCAATATCCATTTCTAATGTTATTTAAACATTTTTCCTAGGAAAAACCACTTTGCGTAAGGAAGCTAAAAACACTCAGTACCACGTCCCGGTAAACTTCATCTAATTGTCTAAAGACTTCTGTGACTTCTGATACTAATCTGTGACTTCAATGCCAAAGTGGGCAGAGGAAGTGTGGAGAGTTGTGTTGGAATGTATGGATTGGTAAAGCGAAATGAGGGTGGTGAAAACTAATTCAGATGTGCCAAACAAAAGAACTGGTAGTTATGAGATTGCGTAGCCACGAGATTTTACGTATTTCTACGCTTCTTCTACCTTTGATATTTCCCTGCATTATATTCCTTAGTAGTTCGTACTTTTCACCTCTCATGATGTGTCTCAAGTATTCCAATTTCCTGATTTTTATGGAATTTAAAACTTCGCATTGTTTTCCTAGTTGTTCGAGAACTTGTTCGTTTGTTTTGCGATCTATCCATGATATTTTTAAAATACGTTGGTAACACCACATTTCGAATGCTTCCAGGTTTTTAATGTTGCATTTTTAAAGTGTCCAAGCTTCAACTCCATACAAAAGGGTAGAGAAAATATAACATCGAAGCATTTTTATCCGAAGCGATATATTGATATCGCGATTACAAAAAAGTTTTCTCATTCTATTAAAAGTTGACCGTGTAATTTCAATCCGGCATCTTATTTCTTCTGTCTGATTAGTATCTTCCGTGATGCATGCTCCAAGGTATTTGTACGAAGATATTTGTTCAATTTCTGTATTATCTAGTACTTTGATGTTTTGTGCTTTGGTCAATACCATGAACTTGGTTTTCTTCAAATTTATTTTTAGTCCATAATCGTTGTAATATATATTTAGTTGTTCAGTAAGGTGTTTCAGTTCTTCTCGTGTTCCTGCCAGAAGGACGGTGTCATCAGCATATCTTATGTTATTAAGTGGCTCACCGTTTATTTTACCGCCCCTAACTGATCTCGGCAAGTGCTAATTCTGAGATGGCTTCACTGTATAAATTTCTGAATGTATCTAGCTTCACCAGAAGCTCTATTTGGACCCAATTTTCCGCTGCAAAATTTTATGCTTGAAAGATGTACTACCATAACGAAATTAGCAAAAATTCTCGAGGATTGTGCCTTTAACTTGAAGAAAGGCAATGGCGAAGACTATAAAAAGTCGTCTGTGACGTCAATATTTCACAGATACATCTTTCAATTGTGCAAGATTGACCAGAGATTCCAAGCGGAGCCAGCTTCAAAGTGTTAAAGAAAATAGAAAACTCAGTTCAAAAGCATTATCCATCGGAGAACTATTAAACATCGTCCAAAGCTACGACGAGGAAACCCTCGATGGAACACAAAAAACCTTTGCTCATTCATTCATTCCCAATGAGGTCGTAAACTGCAAGATTCACATTTTCCAGATGTCTGACAAGTTCTGATACTAATCTGTGGCTTCAATGCCAAAGTGGGCAGAGGAAGTGTGGAGAGTTGTGTTGGAATGTATGGATTGGTAGAGCGAAATGAGGGTGGTGAAAGACTAATTCAGATGTGCCAAACAAAAGAACTGGTAGTTATGAGATTGCGTAGCCACGAGATTTTACGTCTTTCTACGCTTCTTCTACCTTTGATATTTCCCTGCATTATATTCCTTAGTAGTTCGTACTTTTCACCTCTCATGATGTGTCCCAAGTATTCCAATTTCCTGATTTTTATGGAATTTAAAACTTCGCATTGTTTTCCTAGTTGTTCGAGAACTTGTTCGTTTGTTTTGCGATCTATCCATGATATTTTTAAAATACGTTGGTAACACCACATTTCGAATGCTTCCAGGTTTTTAATGTTGCATTTTTAAAGTGTCCAAGCTTCAACTCCATACAAAAGGGTAGAGAAAATATAACATCGAAGCATTTTTATCCGAAGCGATATATTGATATCGCGATTACAAAAAAGTTTTCTCATTCTATTAAAAGTTGACCGTGTAATTTCAATCCGGCATCTTATTTCTTCTGTCTGATTAGTATCTTCCGTGATGCATGCTCCAAGGTATTTGTACGAAGATATTTGTTCAATTTCTGTATTATCTAGTACTTTGATGTTTTGTGCTTTGGTCAATACCATGAACTTGGTTTTCTTCAAATTTATTTTTAGTCCATAATCGTTGTAATATATATTTAGTTGTTCAGTAAGGTGTTTCAGTTCTTCTCGTGTTCCTGCCAGAAGGACGGTGTCATCAGCATATCTTATGTTATTAAGTGGCTCACCGTTTATTTTACCGCCCCTAACTGATCTCGGCAAGTGCTAATTCTGAGATGGCTTCACTGTATAAATTTCTGAATGTATCTAGCTTCACCAGAAGCTCTATTTAGACCCAATTTTCCGCTGCAAAATTTTATGCTTGAAAGATGTACTACCATAACGAAATTAGCAAACATTCTCGATGATTGTGCCTTTAACTTGAAGAAAGGCAATGACGAAGACTATAAAGAGTCGTCTATGAAGTCAATATTTCACAGATACATCTTTCAATTGTGCAAGATTGACCAGAGATTCCAAGCGGAGCCAGCTTCAAAGTGTTCAAGAAAATAGAAAACTCAGTTCAAAAGCATTATCCATCGGAGAACTATTAAACATCGTCCAAAGCTACGACGAGGAAACCCTCGATGTAACACAAAAAACCTTTGCTCATTTGAAATTGCTTGAAGAGGCAATGAGGCCGTAAACTGCAAGATTCACATTTTCCAGAAGGAATTTGATGTTATGGGAGAATGGAAATAAGAGGACCAAATATTTTATCAGACAGACTCATTCTTACCATTCACTCCAATTGGAAGGATGGATCTTCAGATGGATGGATGAAGGTTCAACGCATCGCTCTTGGGATGAGAATAGTTTGTTATTTTATATTTTTTTGTGTCTATTGTGTCAGCCTTGTTCAGACAAGGCTTTTCTGAACAGGAGTTAATTAAATTAACGGGTCATTATTTACCGGTAAAATTTTCTTCTGATTTTATTTAAGTTTGTGGCCTTTTGACAAATATCGCTTATGGAATTTTGACAAAATCACTCAACGGACGTCTCGTGATTTAACTATCAAAAAGTACTTCGGAAAATTGCTAGGCAACAACTTTTCATACCAAAAAATTGTCGGCAAAATTATCTCTCTTATAATATACGGAAATACACTAGCCGGCGACAAAATGCGAAGATACACGTTTTATTCAAAAACAAATTCAGAATATTATTGCAAAGTCTTGTCTGAAAGTTTGTTATCTTAAGTATGCTATCGATTTGGCCGCTGCGCACTCAGAACCCGCGTCTCTTCATTATATTGAGCTAGTGTATCTGCTTCTAACACTTTGGTAGATAATTATATACCAATAAAACTATACAAGGTGTCATCAAACAGGTTTTTGTGTTCAAAGTATTGACTAAGTCTTAACTGAAAAGTGTCTCCTGAGATTTGAAAATGATAATAGATTGTTTACGATAAAACTTATCAAGGATGCTTTCGTCAAAACATAAAAGCTAATGTATGTAAAAAACTATTCTAAAGTAAAATTAATACTTGAAAAAGTGAAGATGAGATGATTCATCTGTGAAGTATGGACTACTAGAACAATGACCTTGAAGAAACGTTTCCAGACGGTGATTGATAAACATAAATTTGAAATATTACTTCTTTAGAATACTACCGAGAAAAAGTCCTTGAGATAAGGATAATTATCTTCTTTTTATTATTCTTTATGGGCATATATGCCTGTTCATCTTTCGGTTATTCGTTGGTTTCAGAATATTTGACCTTGTTTCTTTGATTTACTTCAGCTGGCGATTTATTTCTTGCTATTTTTATGACTCTATTCTCAGTTATGCGATTTATGTGTTGGTTTTATTTTGTTTTTCTGTTCCTGATCCACCACTTCATATTCCTCCGATTTGGCATACTTTGTTTAATCTATTTATTTGTTATTCTAGTATTATGACCGTTCATTACCGTTGTTACAATAGCTTCTGAGAAACTACGTTAGTATGTAGAGCAAAGGTATACAATTGATGCAGCAATATTTAAAAGTAGTACTTATTTTCTGATACATATAAGCATTGTATCGTTCATATAGCAATTCAAAGTTCCTTTGTGTGGAGTGTGAATAAAACACTATTTGTCTCCAAAATAGACTATACTAAGAAAGGTAAATACATACTATTCTAGTGTGAGGCCAGCAAATTATCAGAAAGGTTCCTTATATGCTCACGGAGTCAGTAAAAAGGTTCGTAACTTAATGCAGACTATATATATATATATATATATATATATATATATATATATATAACGCACACAGTAAAAGGACAACTAATTTGACAACAAAACATACTAAAGATTGTTGTTGATGTTCAAAACTAGATATAGCACAAAAATTTTTGTTCCTGGGTTATTAAATTGATGTCTTTTACTCCTAAACTGCATTTGTAGCATAAATAAGCAGATCATTTTTGATCTTTTATCTAAATAACTTATTCAAACACAAAACTCACCAAAGGCATTCGTTTAATTCAAACAGAGTAAACCTGCTCTTCAATATATTCTTAAAAATTCCTCAACATTCTGACGTGATTGTTAACAATCTTCTTTTGTTTCAGATTATTGGATACCATGAAAATGACGGGAACAACCATAGCCAACCAAAGACAGCCTGCCAGTTTTGCAATTAGTGATATTTTAGAATTAGATAGACAAAATAGTGAAGAAATAGATCCAATAACGACAGATATGTCCGTTTACCCCACACACCACGACCTTTCCTATTCGACTAGACATCAGTGGCTTCAAGTACCTGAACCTGGTAAGTAATAGACAATTTATTGGGCTATTAAATACATAAATAATACACTCACCGGCAAAATTAACAGAACACCTTAAAAATGGGACATGTTAGATGTCTCGAATTTCATGAACTTTAGTCCGATTTTAGTGATTTTTTTTAGTACGCTATAGTTACATTATTTAAGAATATAGGGAGCCGTTTCTGTGTAAATTACATCAACGTAGAGAAAGATTGTATCGACGCCAAGGAGAACGAAATGCCCCTTTCAATTTTACTACGACCGTACCTTTTGGTGGAGGTTCAATTATGGTGTGGGGCGGTATATGTTTCTGAGCAAGAACAGATTTAGTGGTGATTGATGATAAAGCAATTACAGCAGATAGGTATATCAGAGATATTCTCCAAGACCATATGGTACCTTTTGCACCATATATTGGCGACAATTTTATTTTAATGCAGGATAATGCGCATCCACACGTCGAAGGCTGTGTAAGAGATTTCTTATTACAAGTGGGTATAACAACGATGAATTGGCCAGCTTGTTCCCTAGACCTGAACCCGATAGAGCATGTGTGGGACAGGTTCGGTAGAAAACTTACGGCACGGATTCCTGCTATTCAAAACAGAGAGGAAGTCAGAATTGCTTTGATTGAGGAATGGGAGAGACTGCCTCAACAACTGATCGATAGCGTTATCAGAAGTATGAGAAGATGAATAACTGCAGTTGTAAGGGCTCGTGGGGGAAACACACGCTATTAAAGCCAGAAAAAAATACATATAAAAACCAATTTAAGTTCAAACTGTACAATAAAGTTAATGTGTTTAAAATCCGTATTTTGTTTTGAGTCTAACATCTTAAAGAGGTTTCATATTGTACTACCATTGTAATATAAATTTAAAATACTTCACCAACATTCGTATTATGATATTATCTAAACAAAATTAACAATATATAGAATAGAGAGAAAATACTCAGATTTTATGGTTGTTCTTTTAAATATGACGGTGAAACTAAGCAGAAAATGAGCATTTATTGATGAAAAACATGGCTAGTTGTTAAAGTGCCTAACCTTTTTATTATTTAAACACAAGCAGATTAATCAAAAAAGAAAATGTTAAGAAAGCCTGAGGCTATAATTGAGTTTTAATTTCAATATTTTATATATGCTAGAATATTCCACAGGGTGGAAGGAAAAAACACAATATGATTGTTACAACAGATATAAAATGACATTGACCTGTCTAGCAACAATATTATTACATCAATATTCTTAAATAATATAACTATAACATACTAAAAAAATCACTAAAATCGGACAACAGGTTTAGGAAATTCGAGATATCTAACATGTCCCATTTTTAAGGTGTTCCGTTAATTTTGGCGGTGAGTGTATATTTGTGTCTGTTTTGCAATTTTTTTTAACAGAATTTCTTGTAATATGTAGATACATAAATCAAAGAATAAAAAGTAATTTTTAATATCCGCCTTCGTACTCCATAATTCACTCCCAAATTAGTGCTGCTCTAAATGATATATACCAAAAATTAGTAACAGCCCTTCCCTGATCACCTCGAAGCTATCAGTCATCACAACAATAGCAATCACACCGAATTTTCAAAAGGATCTCAGTCACTGATACAGTTAGAGATTTTAACGGCACGAGGGATGCGTTTCGGTTGTCTCCCCTTTCTTGGTAATTATGTAACCATTAGTAGGCCAAATATATGGCGAGAAGGGACCGGTAAACCGAATTTACCATTCGTAGTTCATTTGACATAAAAGAGAACAAGTCACGCCTTCGGAAAGCAGATGTTTGTTCTGCAGGCAGATGTGAATCTTGGGGGTTTTGTCACCATTTTGGCCGATTTGTCAATTGAGGTGAAACAAAGATCGATTGAGCAGGTATATTGAGACTGAAATGAGAAAAAATGAATAAGATGGTGAGCCGTTACTACAAATTCTTTTATAATTGTGGATTAGTGTCACTAGGAGTGTGATTAGTATGTTAGATAAAAAGAAATATACAAAATTGTAAAAGATTGTTTTTACCAAAATGATATGCTAACGTGAGTTTTTATAATATGAATAGAATATATTAAATATATCTAGAGTAAGTACGGAGAAGATGGCCGTAGGTTTTGTCACGACACTTCTTCTTCTTTAAGTTCCATCTTCTATCGAAGGTTGGAAATCACCATGGCTATGCAGACTCTGTTGACTGGAGCTTTAAAATGTTCTGCACTACTACATTCAAACCATTCCCTTAAATGCTTAAGCCAGAATATTCTTCGTCTTCCCACATTTTTCTTTCGTCGGATTTTGCCTTGCATAATAAGTTGTAATAATTCATATTTTTGCCCTCTTATCACATGTACAAGTACTCAAGTTTTCGTCTTTTGATAGTTAATATTATTTCCGCCTCATTTCCAATCCTTCTAGTTACTTCTACGTTTGACATTCTTTGCATCCATGATATTCGTAGGATTCTTCTTAACACCAAAATTTAAAGGCGGCCAACTTATTTAGATAGACTTGTTTTAGTGTCCACGCTTCCAAGCCATAAAGAAGAGTAGAGAACACGTAACACCGAAGCATTCTCAGGCGTAGTTTTAGCCTTATATCCCGACAATAACGAAACGTTTTAAGTTTAATGAATGATGCACATGCTATTTCAATACGTGTCTTAATTTCTTTGGTTTGGTCTACATCTGATGTTATCCATGTTCCTAAGTATTTATAGTTATTAACACTCTCAATTGCAGTATGTTCAATAGTCAATTGGATATTTGCATTGCAGATTTAGTCATGATCATGCATTTAGTTTTCTTTAAATTTATCTTCAGTCCGTACTCATGGCAGCGTTCATTAAGGCGTTGCATTACATTCTGTAAATCATGTCATAAATGTTTGTTACTTGTGAATAAATATTTTTTTCTACAAGAATTCTTCCATTACATTATTTTGCATAAATCCTTCAGGACTTTCATATAGTGATCGGTAGACCGCACAATTTAATAAGCTATATGCACAATTAGACCGCATACCATAGTGGCACCACTTTTTCTGCCTGATCCTAATCTTCCAGTGTATAAGTTCATGTGATATTCTTTGACTTTCCCAGAGAGAAAGCTAATGCATTTATGAAGACCCGATCATTTAAAAACATTAAAAGAACCGTTTTTATTCTTAGGAATGAACCTTTTTTATTATTGTTGGATAATTCCTCCACGTTAAAATAACTATACACTGACAAAATTAAAAAACATACAAAATACAAGTGTCTGGATTTTTTTTATAGTACAAATTGTAATCTAACCTTTGCAAATGCCGTATGCCTATTATCTTCTATAAAATAAACGAAAATAGTCCACCTGTTCAATATTGACCCTTTCAGTAATATTAGATACTCAAGAGTATTTCATCAAACTGGCTCCTAGATTCTTGGTTTTAACAAAATGTATCTAGTTATTGGATCATCACTTTCGATAAGTAAATATTTCAACACATATGATTTCATTTTTTTTTGTATAAATAGAAGTAAATTTACCTGTACAGCCAAGATATCGACGAAAAATTGGATCAGATTATTTTATTTACATAACATCATTGACATAGATTGTCTTGTGTTTGTTTGTCGTTCGCGAGGAATTAAAAATAAACATTTGATAAAATATATACCACCCGATGCTTGGCGTTTTCTTCGTATGAAACTCAAATATGACATAATTTTCAGTAAACGGGGTCTGCTTTATGTAAGGATGTGAAAATCTTGTGAACTTTACGTACAGGTAATAGTTTAACAAAAATATAACAAACTTGTACTTAAAATAAGTGAGTGTTTTGGCTTCGATTCATAGGCCGATAAAACAGAGTATACTTTTCTGAAGGTTTTTGGTGCGCTGAATACAGATCTAGGCTTCAAATGTCGAATTGTCTGTGGTTTCCATAGACATATAATACAAATACAAACGCGGCTCATTATAAAGAGAGGTAGAGACAGCTTTGCACCAGTTTTCTCTGTTGTACTGGAGTAACGTAGCTGTATTGCAAGGCTCGGTATTATTTGTATTATGTCTATGTATATGCATAAACGGAAAATCAACAGAAATATGTAAAATACAAAGAGGTGCATAATTTGGAATGGGGCGTGAAAGTTAATGGAATTCTGATAAATACAATCAGATATGCAGACGATACAGTTATTTTAAGTGATGACATGAATGGACTACAATGCCTTTTAAATGCCATTGGTACAGTGGGAAAAGAGTTTATCCTAAACATAAACTGTTCAAAAACAAAACACATGGTGTATCTTGGTTGCCATATTACTGAACAACTAATTCCAGATCAAGAGATAAAATGTAGAATCGAGATAGCCCGCACGACATTCTTAAAAATAAGGTCATTCTTCTGTAATGATAACTTGCAACTTCAACTTCGAAAGCGCATGGTTAAATGCTACGTTTGATCAGTCCTCTTATACGGTGTCGAAGCATGGACATTAAAAATATCCACCATTAATCGCCTGGAGGCCTTTGAAATGTGGCTGCACAGACGTATACTAAAAATTCCATGGATGGCTATGCTGACAAATGTGGCAGTCCTTGAGAGAGCAAATGCTGCTCGCGAGCTGCTTGATAACATCAATGTAGAAATGGCCTATTTTGGACACGTAGTAAGGAGAGACCGATATAATATTGCACTATTGAGGTAAAATCGAAGGACGCAGAGAAATTGACAGAAAGCAGGCCTCTTGGTTGAAGAATATCAGGGAGTGGACAGGAATAAAGAAAGCTGAGCAACTCTTTAGAATAGCTCGAGACAGAGACAGTTTCGCCATGTTAATCGCCAACGTCAAGGGGACTTGATAGGGCACGTTAAGAAGAAGAATATATGTCGGTTTTTGAAAAATCCTAACCTAACAGTACAAACAGAGCGGTTTTTGGTCATTTTTGAGGTTATGTAGACCAGGCTTGCTGTACATACATAATTTCCTTTGAATACAAAATATTATCGATTAATTCTATGGAATCTGTGGATTAAGAGGGATGTTTTATACGTGTTGATGGTTGATAGGGTTAGAGGTGTTTTGTTTCGATCATTACAATTACTGTATCTAGTTTTATTTTGATATTATGCAATAAGCAATTGATTTTAGGGATTTCAAGGTTAGGTTAGGCTGTGATATGTTGTTATATTGCCTCTTGATCGATTGAAAGGAATAATTAGCTGGGTTTGGGGTGTGTAGGTTTTATATTGTTCGAAGTCTTTAATTCCTTTAGAAAATCCGTTTATTTTGATGTTTAGATTTTAAATTCGGGCATTTACAAATAATTTCCGAACAAAAAAGAAAGTGATACTACTTATATAAAGGTAGGAATATAGCAATTCGTAGGAATATGTAAAAGAATTGCAATGATTAGGCTAAATGTAAATGGGAACATCTTCCTGAAAATTATTCAAGTATACGCTCCAACCGCAGCACATCCCGATGAAGAGATAGACGAATTTTATGAGAAAATTGCAGCAACTAGTACGAACTATCACAGCAAGTATACGATGATAATAGAAGACTTCAATGCTAAGATCGGACAACGACTTTCAAAAACCGATAATTGTATGTGACAGTTCGGCTCTGGAGTTAGAAATAAGAGAGGAGAAACCTTGGTTAACTTCCTACAAGCCCACAAATACTATGCAATGATCACATTCTATAAGAAAAAACCTCAAAAAAAGTGGACGTGGCTATCCTAAGACGGAAAAACTCGAAACGAAATAGATTACATACTGTGTAACAAAACATAAAGGACGTAACAGTAATAAATACAGCGTCAGTAAGTAGCGATCATCGAATGGTTAGAGCCAAATTAGAGATAAAACATAATAAAAATAAAAATAAATTTAAAAAAACTTGGAATATAGAAACCTCCTAAAGTACCAAATCTAGATAATCATCATCATCAATGGCGCTACAACTCTTCGTGAGTCTTTGCCGCGTTTACTATTGCCTTCCATGTTTGTCGGTCCTGTGCCAGTAATTCCCATTGTCGCACTCCCATCTTCTCTAGATCTTCTCTGACTGCATCTTTCCACCTTTTTCTAGGCCGCCCTACAGACCTTCTTCCATCTGGCCTTTCCCAGAACACATTGTTTATAAGGCGATTGTCGTTACTGCGTAAAGAAATCAAGATAAGCTTAGCTTAAATGAAATCGATAACGTCATAACAAAAGAACTATTAAATGCAAGTTCAGAAGTGGTAACCGCTAACAGAAATCGAAAGTCTACAATAAGTGTAGAATCACAAAAATGCTGAAACAAAGGAAAGATTTTTTGAGAGAAAACAATTTAATACTTGTAATTTCATTATCATCAGTGACTGATAGCCCATGAAAATTCCTGGGCTCTTTAACTTGACCAATGTTTCCATAAAAACTACACTTAAAAAATATGGACTATTTAATATAATATTTTGATGTTAATTTTAAGTTTTTTTGTTTCTTTTTTTTGCACCTGATGTTGATTTTTAGTATTCTTGTTTCTCTTTTTATGTAATTTATTTTTCTTTTGTTTCAGGAATGCATCACGCACCACCACACCTAACCATTCCACCTCATTCGTCGCAACTAAGCCCAGACAGCACCAGCCCCGCAATATCAGAGAGATCCAGCGTCCCTCCAGACACGCCGCTCGGCGACTCTAACATGACAAATCCCCTCAATCAAGCTCCTTCCTCGATGGGAACGATCAGCGAAGGAGAAATGGAAGAACAAGATGACATTAAGGAAGAAGAAGGAGAACAACAATCTAACGGACCGAAGAAAAGGAAAAGGAGAGTTCTGTTTTCGAAAGCGCAAACTTATGAGTTGGAAAGGAGGTTTAGGCAACAAAGGTATCTCTCAGCTCCCGAGAGGGAGCATTTAGCGTCAATAATTAGGCTCACTCCAACGCAGGTGAAAATTTGGTTCCAGAATCATAGGTAAGTTAGTGTAATATATTTCTTTTGTTTGTATTTGTAATCTTTTACCATTATCGTCTTTTTTGTACAATAAATAAAGATTTCGGTCCCTGGTTATCATTTTACTATTGAAAATTTAAGCATTTAAGACAAGAAGGAGAAAAAAAAATATTTTAATAACTGGTTTAATGTTTTATAATGTCCAGTGATTCCTCTGAGTCCTTTGATATCATAGCACATTCTGGAATTGAAATGTCGATGATAACAATATTTCTAGTGAATCTAGTTCATTTTTCCTTTTCCTCTTTTGTAAGCTTACCAAGACACATGTATTGGTACAACAATTGTCTCCAAAAACGTCTTGAGAGCAACTTTTTGTTATCTTTCTCTACTCATTATCTCTTTGCCTTTATTCGCTTTACCTTATTAACATGTTACTTTCCTCAAGTATTTGATACTAATACCATTCATGTCAACTAAGTGGCATAACAAAATTTTTAACTGGTATTCGATTTCTTTTTAAAAACATCGGTTGGTATAAAAGTGCAATTGCATTGGAATTAATTTGTCCCAGGGTACTGATCTCAGTATTGGAACGTAATCTTCGCATAAATTCACAAATATCATATTTATATCCTTGTTTTCTTTCTCGAACAGTATTTCAGTATGATCTAGGCACGATTTATCTTCTATGAAGTTTGCATGGTTTTCAACGTTTATGCCTTTTGTTGCTGGATTTTTTTGTTACAATATATTTCTGTATAACAGTCTTTCCTTTGATACTACCAAAGGACGTATAGAAAAACCAAATTGAAAGGATTTTTGACTCTAAATATTGGAAGATTGTAAAGGAAATACAATTCCTTGTCTCTTAAGCGATGCAGCAGGTAGGCGTTCATGCTAGTTGGATTATCTGTAAGGATCCTTTTTCTGCTTTCCTTATATTGTACTGGTATCAGATACATCGCTGACCTTTCGCTGTTTAACGATATTTCAAAGCTCTCTTTGAATATTACCTTTTCTTAAGACCTTTTTATTTGTTATATGACAATCCGTGCAATTTTAAGCAACATTCTGAGATACCACATTTCCAATGCTTCAATACGGCGATATTACTTTAGACTTCATGCACTGAATATTTCAATATTAATTTTAAAGTTCTTCCATTGACTGTGGATTCAACTGAACTACGTGGACTATAACACATTTATATATTTTGTCTTCAATTTTGATTTTAACTTTTAGTAATTTAACTGCATATTCAGATTTTTCTTTTTTACAGTACTGATAGCGCTTGGTGGACCATTTTATTGTAGTCAACCATCCACTGTCTAATATATTGTTAGTCTTTTCTCACATTCATACTTTATGTCAACTTCAATTGCTCTCAAACCAACATCCTAATTATTATAGACAGGTTTGAGTGTGAGATTGGAATTATTCAATCCACATAAAAAATATACTATATAATTTTATATTTCATCAGTCGATTTCCTATAGTGGTGTCAGTTGGACCTTTGGTCAATACTTAGTGTCATAGAATTTTGAAAGGTGCAGATCACATAACTGCCCTTCATAAGCTGTCATTTGTCACATGTCATCTCTACATTTCCGTCAGACCGGGAGCCCATTCTGTCTCCGGCTTCTTCACAATATGTAGCTTCGCCATATAAATTTTAAAGTGTTTGTTTGTCTTAGTGTAGTGTATTTTGTATTGTTATGTCCAGTTTTTACATTTATGACATTCTAGTATGTCGGATAGTCCACAATTGACGAAGTAAGTCTATAAACGTTTATCACATATAAAAAATTTTTTTCAACCATAAACTTGGAGTTTTTTATCCAAGTGAATTAATTTTCCTGTTTATAAAAAACGTTTCTTGGCTTATTTCAGATGCCCCTGAAGATGATCTATTGATCGAAAGCGCTTGGGCAAGATTAAATTAATCACCGTGTTCGATAGTTGCCTTGTATACCCTCAAAGATATTACTTTAATTAGCCAGGTCTTACTACCGTACAATATATGTAGCATTTTAGGACGCAAATATAGCAACCCAAAAGAGATTTGTGTTGACAAAGGTAGTAATTATTTGATACAAGTATTTCTAGCTATTGCTACATGGATCTTCACTTCTTCGTCGCAGTCCTACTTACTGTTTTAGGTAGCTCGATGCCTAAATTGCATAAATACACAAAAAAAAAGAGAAAACATCCAATATAACGCCTATAGCGTGAGCAAGAAAAAGATAATTAAAGGAATAGTGATCAATTTGCTACATTTTTACTTGTCAAGAATTTTTTTAATAAAATGAAGTCTCATACTGATTTGCATATTAACTTAAAATAATGTGATCACTTGCAAACGAGCTAATCAAATGATAACAAAAATAACAAAATAAATACCCACTTTCAGGAACTAATCAATCGAATAATAACTGAAATCTTTATGACCATTGTAATCTACAAAAGGTAATTCCATGGTAAATAGCTGTATATTACAATTCGAGTGGCACTCCATTTTATCTTGCAGCTACTGGTTCAATTTTAGTTAGATGGATTTACGATTCGTCATTTCTAATACACTGTCGGGAGAGTCACTTATGCAAAATTTATCAAAAGATAAACAAACTTCTTGCTTAAACATATGTGTATGTGACTGCAATATGCAAATAATCTTAAATAAATAAATAAAAATATACAGATCGAGAGGATCCTATTTCCGCTAAAAATTGCCAAGTGCATTATCAATATTGGGCGGAAATCACAGTAAATGATAAAGAAGGAATTTCAATTGAATGCATCGAACGACATGTATTTAATAGTACTATATTCTTACTCTAATCTTCGGGTTTATATCTTGTTTTCGTTTACGCTTCTTTATTTCCTCATTATGTCAGACTTTCCTATCGCCCGATGCTGCAGTTTATTTCACAAACTTGTGACTATTTTGAAATATGGATAAATGCTAGGGATGAAAAAGGTAAAACTGCTAGACAAACAAACATTTCTGCGTAAAATGTGCAGTGCATATGAATTACATCAATCACAAGCCAAATCCCATGACATTAAAAAGTCAGTCATACTTCCTTCATTATTTCTTATATCCCTTATCATTTCTGCTATAAATATTATAAGTACAGTACATAACAGAATCCATGAATCTACAGAATCCCAAATCCAATTGTATGTGGTGTACGATCAGCCACAATAAAATGTAGACTCCTGGCAGAAGACGAGATTTCCTTTGAAAGAGCTTATGCGGTAACATTGTAAATAGAACTTACATAAAGTCAAGTCAGAAGGTTGGAACCGGAAAATGTAGCTGGAATTGAAGAAAAGTTAGATAAAGTAATGGTCAGAAAGAAGAAGCTGGTAGAAGTTATGTCCCACATAAGTCATGCTTTAGATGTGGTAGAAAACATTATTCATCAAAATATCAAGCTAAAGCATGGCAATGTTTTCGTTGTAAGAAAGTCCCATACGGGTACTGTCTGTCATTAGTCTGTCATAACAAAAATATGATAATTCAGAAAACTCAAGGCTTTTTTTCTCTCATAGAAAAACTCCTTCTTAAAGTTCGTCCTAGAACTAAATTTAATATGTTGAAACCTTCTTACCATAATAGTAAGCATTCATCGATTCCAATCAATAATGGCATACGTTGTATAAAGTTAATAAACGTGAATTAAATTGAAAACAAACAAACAAAATTATGGCAGAAAGGTAGGATTGGTTGTACGTCGCCGAACTTTGGGAAATCGATAAAAAAACAAATAAAAATTGAGGCAATGGAAATGGACTATTGGAGATGATGTTACCGGCATACTAAACTTGATAGGGTGAGGAACGTAGACATTAGGAGAGAAATGCAAATTGACCTAGACATAATAGATACTATCGAAGCCAAAAAACTAAACACCTTGCAGGGAATAAATGGCCAAAAAGGATAAAAAATGGACTCCACCCACTACAAGAAAACGAGTTAGACCAAGACGGTCATGTAGAGATGTCGAAGATGCAATGACCGTCAGAGATTTAAAAACTGAAGATTGCCTTGACAGCAAACGCTGGAAATTAGGATGCGAGAAACGACGCCAGCTGTAGAAGACAAACTCACATAGTGTGTGGTAATATGCCAGTGTTACGTAACAGTGTTACCATTGAACCCCCAGTGAATCCAATTTTAAGACACGAATCGGTTCAATTAGAACCAAAGGAGCCCATCTCAAGTTCATCACAAGAAGAAACAAACCCATTTCTTTCTAGAGATGAAACATCCTTCTTCTTTATGTGCCGTCTTCTACAGAAGTTTGGCGACCATCAAACTATAGGTTTCTCTGTTTTGTGTCGCATGTATTATGTTCGCAGCTGCTGGTATTTGAAACCATTCTCTCAAGTTTCTCAGCCAGGATTTCTTCTTTCTGCCCAAACCTCTTCTACCTTCAATCTTGCCTTCCACGATAATTATCATTACGGAACACATGGCCCAGGTATGACGCTTTCCTCCTTTTAACAGTTGTTAACAATTCCACCTCTTTACCCATTCGTCTTAATATCTCTGTGTTGGTCACTCTGTCTGTCCAAGGTATTCTCAGTATGCGTCGATAGAGCCACATTTCTAGAGACGCTAACTTCTTTATAGTTGCTGCTGCTAACGTTTAGGTTGCGGTTGCTTAAAGAGCTTTCTCATTTTGATGAATTTGGATCTTGCTATTTCAATTCGGATCTTAATCTCTACGTCTGGGTCCTACTTATCATTTACTGTATATCCCAGATATTTAAATCGTGCGGTGTACTCTTTCAATACGTTCGGCTTCAATATTCAGGTCGATATGTTGAATGTTCTTTTTACTGATCACCATAAATTTAGTTTTCTTTCTATTGATCTTCAGTCCAAATCGGTTGCCAGTTATATTAACTTCACATGATGAAACATCCACAGACTGCAATATTAGAACGCGCTTTAACGAGGAAGAGATGTATATTAATCCTTTATCAAGATAGTATAGTCACTTCACAAAAACATAGACAGGCGGTGGCGAGGTTATATCATGTTAAGCAACAGCTCCGAATGTCTCAGCTGCTATTAATAATATAACTGTTTGGAACCATTTTTTAGTTTGTGCCTCATTCAATACACAATACATAACTTAAGTAAATTCCTGTCCTTGCATGTCAATTATAATTTCTTTGTTAACGCAATGCATTTTTATGTTGTTTCAGATACAAGACTAAGCGAGCCCAACACGAAAAGGGCATGCACGATCAACAAAACAACCCCATGCCATCCCCAAGGCGAGTAGCAGTCCCGGTCCTCGTCCGTGACGGCAAACCATGCTTAGCAGGCGGCCAAAAAACCGACAACGTTCCCTTACCAAGTTCGATGATGATGGCGAACCACGCGGCTCATCCTTTAATGTACGGCCAACCCAGGGTTTGGTGGTAGAACATATCAGTAGAGATGGTTAAAGGATAGCAGCGTGGTTTAGGAACGTAGACTATTTGGCGGGCAGCTGTGAGATTTTGACTAGCGGGACTACTAGTCTAAGATAAGTCTTTTATGTATAATTGTTGGGACGATTTAACATCGAATGATCTTAAACCTTATTGCCTTGTTTCTCAAAGCAGCTCTACAAGTTTTTAAATAATTCAAGTGAGTAGTATTTTTTTATTTTTAGCGTAACCAGCAAATTTTTCTCTTTTCCTTGAAACATGGTTATTACTGTGCTTTGTGAAAGTTGGTAAAAGGTTTTTTTGTTATCAATAATATTAAATATTATTTTATAATCGACCAAATATCCAATAAACCTGTCATCATTCTTTTTCGAAATAAAATCTAGAAACGTTATCAAAAAATTAGATATGTTGCATTAATATGCGAACTTTTATATTGAGATAAGACTTTTTGTGTATACGTGACATTTTCGATCAGTTGCCAGGTATCAAAACCAGTGAAGTAGAACTAATTTTATTAAAAGAGGCATAAAATAATAATAAAAATTAAAATAATAGCAAAAGCTTGATTGAAGTGTAAGTTGGAATTAGTTATTTTGAAGCTGTTTTTATTTGCACTATTTATTTGTGTTTTCATTAATATAATACGAAGATAATATTTTATATGTTAAAAGTACAAGTTGTAAAAAGTTCAATTGAATTTATTTTAACATTTATTTTTATTAGAGTAAAATTACGGTAAAACGGTATTGCATGGCCATCGACCAATTTTTCACTATAGACAAGAATTTTTTTATTTAGAAACATACAGTCCACATCGATCATGTAGGGATATTTATAGACAAGACTCCAGGATGATCCAGGTTTAATTTTTGACACTAAAACATGCAGCTATATCCAAAATATCTGTAATATATAAAATTCTGAGATATATTGGCTTTGGGAAAGTTAGGTTTAACTTACAATGTCTTTTTTTAAATTTCCAAATCTGGTTCTATATTTTCGCGATCCTTGCAGTATAAGAAAAATGTTAACCTTAAAATCATTTCCAACGTCGAATCCTATTTCCTAATTTCCTAAATAATAAATAAAAATAAATAAACATTTGGAATTTGTCGATGACAGATGACATTTGACATTTTTGAGGATAGACACAAAGACACAATATGTCATCAATACTTTTAGATCCGATTAAGTGTAAATTTTAGTGTGAAATGTACAATTCAATTCGGCTTGTGTTACCAAATTTGATATGATGAAAAGTTACATTTCTTTATTTTCAGTTGCCTTGTCTTCTTTTTGTATTACTTTTCCTTGGCCATATGTAGTACATATTTGAAATAATTTGAATTTTACAAAACTTACTATGAAGAAAAAACTTCGTAAGTAAAATGGTATTAAATTTATTAAAAATTTTAATAATTACCCGAAATAGATTTTTTTAATCCTATTGGACTATCATCAGTGCAAAACCTAGAAATATGTATTAAACTATGATACACAGACAACCATCGGGAATTTCCCTTTTAACTTGTAATGTTCATTTGTTATTAATAACTAGGTAATACAAAACGAAGAACTCCAACTTCAGGTGGAAGAAAATTACATTTTTTTTATATTTTCTTCGCTGTATTATTTTATCAATAATTTTTGTTAGGCAGCTTGCAGGACAAGCCGTAATAATTTAAATTTATTCGCTTACATTCTCCTCCTACTCCTACTTCTCCCACTTCTCCCACTTCTTCTCCTCCTCCTCGTTTTCCTTCTCCTCCTCCTCGCTCTCCTTCTCCTCCTCCTCCTAATACTCCTCATTTTTTGAGCACTTCTTAGGGCATGGTGGCACTATTTTACTTTCTGCATACATCAAATGTACAATTTTCAAAACAGTTCTTTTCCAATATTTGGAGGTTGACTACTTTTGCAAACTGTTGTATGTTTTCAACTGTTCTTATTAGCTGTTCAAAATTTAGCTCTGTCCGTTGTCAAAGGTTTCTTAGTCACGATACTGTTTTCCTTCCTAGTTCTCTCTTTCCGTAGATCTTTCTTTCCATTATTAGTTGATCATATTGGTTCTTATTAGTTTTTGCCTAGGTATAATGTTTGCATGACTTTTACCATGAAAAGGTTAAAAACTTGTTAAAACGTTTTGGTATTCTTCGCTTATTCTATCCAGTACTGCCTTGTTTGAGGTCTGCTATGTCTATAAAATCTTGAGGATCCTCTGATAGAGCCACATTTCAGAGGCCTCCAATTCATTTTCCCGTTGATGTTTAGGGTCCCACGTTTCCACACCAGTTGAGCTGCACTAATGTCAATCACTTTTACAGCTATAACTAAGCATCTCCCAAAAGATTTTTTTTTGTTTATTGCTTGTTTTTTCTTTTTAACTGTCCAATAGTCTTATATACCATAGTTGGTCTCATAAATGCAACACAACACCTGTCTTTTTCCATTGGTCCTTTTTATTGACTGCTGTATGTATTTGACCCAAATTTACAATTTTTTTGTAGTAGGTCTATATATACATGAATAATATAAAAAATTACTTTTTGCAATTCCAACCTAATAATCTTTGTTTTCAAAAGCTTGAATGTAATGTTCCAGTCCTTATTCCAATATCCTGTTACTATTTTCTATTAACACCACAATATCAAAATACATTAAGCACCGAGAAATGCCGCTTTAAATTATTGATATGCATACTAATGATAATAAATACCGAATGAGCAGTGAACACTTATCAAGTACTACTTTTATATAAACTTTGTCTCTCCTAACACCGTCCTTAGCATTAACTGATACAGTATCACATATTTATCTCCCAGAGCTTTCACACTTTCGTGGTCGATGTCTACCAGAGAACCTTTCGAGGTAACCCTAATATTCGTATTTTGTTTTCCTATATTTTCCCATTATTTACCTTATAATGAAAATTGACATAAATGCAATTTCAGTGCTTCATCTATTTGTTGTGTCTTTCAACGATTGAGAAGTAAATTTGGCGCTCTGGTGGACATTTAATAATATAAAATCCCACAATTTGCAAGACAATTTGTGGAAAGATCTCTTTCTTATTGTATGTAGTTGATTTATTTTAAGAAATATATAGTCCTAATTTGCTTGAAAATTTGGAAAATCAAGAGATAACACGCAGAGCGTGGTAAGTTCAGCTAATTCAGTCTATTCTCGATGTAAATTGACGTAATTTTTGCAGTCAGATTTTTTTAAACGTATATTTGATCCACCAACGTAAATAATATCGGAAGTTTTTAAGAAATGAATCAATAATTATAGATATATTCTTTTATCTCTTTAATTTATTAGTATCTACTCCACTGGTTGTCCAAAAAAATTGATAGATACGTGTAGAGATTTTTACAGCAGATAGGGAATATTGTTCAGAATTATCTATCAATTTTTAAATTGATTTAAGCAATCAATTTCCTTTGACGTATAATGTTTTAATTATACGGAGATATTTTATTTTGTAAGATAAAGCCTTTAAAAATTTATTAAATTGTAATATCTGCAGGCGGAATTTTTTCTGAATTCCTTATGTTAGAATTTTTTGTCACACTAGCGATTGTTAGCCTTTAAAGCATGCCTTAATGTTGGATTCGTTGTAAAAAGAATGGTACAAATTGTTCTTTGTTGATAATTGTTATTCTTACCACATTTAAAGCAACCAAGAATAAGCATTTTCTGGATTTATAGATCTGGAATTATCTCTTCATCGTCGTGATTTGTATTCTGGGGATCATCTGCATATAGACTTTGACAATATTTTCTTCATAACTGCGCAATCCCTTTCTCGTTATTTATATGTTGGTTTTGATCCATTATCGTTTGTTACAACTTTGAACTTTGTTATATAGCTCATGGGATTCATACCCGTTTGCATGTCTCTCTAGTTCTTTGCATTCTTCATTTATATGGTTATGTTTATCATCCCTACATTTAACCTTGCTAATTCGTTTTTGTTGCTGTCGTTTTGATATATGAGAGATTTGATTCTCCTTTGCTCTTTGAGAAGTTGCAGCTTTCCGTCTGTCATCCAGTGTTTCCTCTTCATGATCTTTTTTTCGGTTCTGGTTCTTTCTACAGAGGTTTCTATGGCATTTCTGAAACCTTTCGACATTTCTTCTGGGTTGTCTTGTGTGTTCAACATACTAGTTTCCTTTAATGCGTGTCTAAATGTTTTCGAATTTGAAATCTCCAGCCAGTTTTGATTTTGGTGCGGCATTGTTCTTTTTAGCTGTATCTTGAAACAAGCCCATAACAATTTATGATCGGATCCACATTCAGCTCTTGGTCTAGTTTTTGCGTTTGTAAAATATGTCTTCCATCTGTTTCTAATCAATATGTAGTCGATTTGGTTCTTGTATTCTCCATTTGGGTTTTCGGTTGCAAAATCTATTAAACGTTCGCCTCTGCTGTTTCTAACACCTAACCCATAGTTTCCTACATTTTGGATGTTATCATTTCTTGTTTCTCCTACCTTAGTATTAAAATCGCCCATGATTATGTGGTAAGTGGTTCTTTAGATGAAATATTTCTTATTGTGTCTTCAATAATGGAGTATACGTCTTCCACTTCATTGTCTAAAGCGCCTGAGGTTGGCATATAGACCTCAAGAATGTGCATTTTGTTTGGTGATGCTAGTAAGGTTATTTTTATAAGTCTAGTTATATGTGGTAATTGAAACAATTAATAATAAAATAATTCCTTTGCTAGTCGAAGGAAAAGTTCCTTTAGTTCCTTTATATAAGTATTTAAACTCAGTATTTTACTTGAATACAGATATAATATGACATTTTTTTTATATTTCTATTTATAGTTATTTCTTTTCTTTTAAGTAATATAACTAAAATCTCTACTCACTATAAAGAACTTTTGTACCGTTTTCCTATATACCAACTCTAAAAAGGCAGAAAAAACATCAGGGTTTTTATTTCTTACACTTTTAAAATTTGTAAATTGAATTCGTTTTATGTGAACATTATTAAGATTTTTAG